TTAAATAACAAACAGTGCAGCGCTATTAACGCTGCACTGTTTGTTAGTTATGTTTTTATTGGGATGGTCGCCTTTTGTGCTAGCTCTTTGGTTTCCAAGCACTCACTACACCCCTCTCTGTTTACATATAGGGGTCAAGCAAATGTTTTGAGCCTCTTCTTTTAAACTACACCTAAGCTTTTAGTTTAATTTTAAGGATGTGTATGTATGATTGCCACCAGTCCTTGAACAAGCAAATCATTTGTTCAAGGAATTTGCTATCTGCCCACTACATTTTGCTTGCAACAGAATGTACACTCCAGCAACGGAAAAAAGAATATTAAAAATAAAATATTTAACATAAAAATATGATCTTTTTGACTCTCTATGATTAAAGTAGACTGTAAAAACTTTTAAGTACAGTAAATCTAAATCTAATAGCTAAAATGGTGGTGGTTGCAATAGCTTTCTTTCAGTAGACTAAGAACACTTTCAGCGAGTGCAGTAAATATCTGCTAAGCTTGGCAGACATCTAGTCCCCCTACTTAAAGGGGGCTTCCAGATTCCAATCCAAATATATACGAAGCGAAAATGAATTCCGATAACAAATCACTCTAACATAACGAATATGACGAAACAAAATTATTGATGAATGAATCCAAGATGAAACAAATTTTTTCATACTGCACATTTCTTTTCTTTAATGATTGCAATGCACTCGCAGTGTACTTACTCCTAGTGGGCCCCCTTTCCAGCTGCACAGATACTTCTACCCAGTTAGCCAGTGTCTTGCACCTCTGCACTGCAGACTCCATCCACTGGAATATCCATATATTGTCATGGTCTCCATTCAATATACTCTGCTTGAAATGAATGAAATCCACATTGCACATGCATAGTGGGAACACTGGATGACTGGGAAGACTTTGCAGAAGAGACTGTACAGCACTGGATAGTCTAACCAGCTACTATCTTAAAGGAGCAGGGTGCAGGTATGCAAGTGCAATTATAAAAAAGCTGGAGAAGGGGTGCTCACTAAAGCTGGCTATAAACTAGTAGAATTTAAAAGGCTTATTCGTACGGAAACTCTCAGTACATTAGATGACTTGACAAATGTATTTGCTCCTTTGAATTTGCTTGTCACTGCAGTTGAAAATGACCTTTGATTTGACCCCACCAATGATTAGTAAATTGAACGTACATTCTTCAAATTGCAAACAAATTTCTACTAGTGTAAGGACATCTTTACTCACTTGCCTACTGGGCACTTATACCCCCTTCCTGCCCAGGCCAATTTTCAGCTTTCAGCGCTGTAGCACTTTGAATGACAATTACGCTGTCATGCGACACCTTACCCATATGATATATTTATCATTTTTTTCACACAAATGGAGCTTCCTTTTGGTGGTAATTAACCACCACTGGGTGTTTTATTTTTTGTGCTATAAACAAAAAAAGAACAAAAATTTAGTTTCTATTATAAAATTTTGCAATAGGTGATTTTTCTCCTTCACTTATATGCGTTGATGAGGCTGCACTGATAGGCAGCACTGATGGGCACTGATAGGCAGCACTGATGGGCACTGGTGAGATGGTATGGATAGGCAGCACTGATGGGCACTGATAGGAGACACTGATAGGAGACACTGATAGGTGGCACTGATGATGCTGCACTGATAGGCAGCACTGATGGGTGGCATCGCTGGGCAGCACTGCTGGGTGGCACTGCTGGGTACAGGTGGGTGGCACTGCAGGACACAGGTGGGTGGCATTGCTAGGCACAGGTGGGTGGAACTGCTAGGCACATGTGGGTGGCACAGGTGCATGGGAAAACAGGGCACAGGTGGGTGTCACTGATGGGCACATGTGGGTGGTACTGATGGGTACAGGTGGGCGGCACTGATGGGTACAAGTGGGCAGCACTGCTGGGCACAGGTGGGTGGTACAGGTGGGCAGCACTGCTGGGCACTGATGATCAGTGCCCTTATGATCAGTGCCCAGATAATAAGTGCCGATCACTTCTCTGACAATTGCTGGTTATCGGCAGTACTTTCCTCACGCTGTGACAGTGTGAGGAAAGTACAGCCAATAACCAGAAACTGCATATATCGGTGATCTGCTGTGTCATTGGACACTGCTGATCACATGGTAAAAGGCTGCTGTGATTGGCCGTTTACCTTATCCAGAGGACACAGCGACCACCGGCGGCGCTGGCGGCACTCAGGGGGCGTGTTCTGGAATGACATCCATGAAACAACTGCGCTGTAGCTGTCCTCCGGCTATAGCGTGTTTGGGAACTGGTTAATTATAACTAAAGGCAGACCTTATTTTTTAGTTTTAAATAGAGTGGAGAGGGATTAGAAAACCTGTAAGGTTTTTATTGCTGTCTGTGCCCCCGTTAGATTCATCTTCTCTATTTGTCCTGTTTACTGTTATCACTGAAAGTGAAAGTTTAAGAAAATCCCAAATTTAGGTTTGTTCCCAGAACAGTAAAAGAGGGGAAACCTCCCATTGGAGACACTAGTTCTGGAGACCCTGGAAACAACCAGGGATTCCCTTACTTTGGAGGGATATCTTTCACTTCCTGTTTTGGCTATGGGACAATAAGTGAACAGAAATGCTCCAAATGGAACACAGATGTCAAAAAACAGGCAGCAAGTTATCCCTTCACTTTACCCAAAATAAAAAAAATGTTTGCCTTTAGTTCTTCTTTAAGAGTAAATGATCAGTAATGAACACATTAGCAAATACACGATTATATTTGATACCAAATGCTTCCTGAAATAAAAAGCATTAACTGAAATACATTTTTCTATTTGTTGTTTAGAAAAATGATCCAGAATTTAAAGCTGGCCTCTTTACAGAATATGGCAAATGGATGGATGGTTGGGAGACGAGGAGGAAGAGAATTCCAGGTAAGAAATATATGTATTCCTGGCTCTGCCTCTTCACTAATACTATTACAATTTATAAACCCAGCAGGGAAGAAATAAATAAGGTCCCACCTTAATATACACCCTTCTGGTCTACACTATATTACAAACCACCGACCCAGCTGCTTACCTATTTATTTATTCCATGGCCTACTCAGAGCCTAGGCTATAATTATATCCTCTGGACAAAATCCTGGTCAACTCTGGATGCAATTGAGTGGTAAAGTAGACTTGTTTAGGGCTGTATTTGCACTGCCTCTACATTATAGGTTATAATTATATTACATTTTAAAATACCTTTTAATCCAGGTACGTATTCATACAAAATACATGACTGTATTTTAAGTACCTGAAACTATTTTATAATAGCTAACCATTTTCCCTTGCACAGTAAGACGTAGAGTGGAAAAAGGAGAGCCAGCAGTACAAATAAATCAGTCTGTTCTGCATCTGATACATTGTTAATCTAGCATTAGTAAAATGTTTCTTGGAGAAGAGAACAGAATGTTGACACTATTGGTGTGGTGATGCTTTTTTGCTGCCCAATAAGCAGGTTAGGGAAAGGCTGGGAATAAGCAGTATTGTTTTACTGCAAAGAAATAAAGTGAAGCTGCCAACTTGGTTGTGCTTTCTGGCAGGGGTGCCTAGATCACAAAACTGAACAGAATAAAACATCTTTGGGCAGGTAAGACATTTCTTATATGTGATTTTCATTACTGTATTTACCTGTTTTTCCTGTAATTCAAGACAGCGGTGAAAAGGTAAATAGTAACTACTAGGGAAAACAAATCTGGTATTAAAGAGTAAGAGGTTAAAAAGGTGAAAGTGAAAGGCAAATGCAAAGGAAATATGGAGATAAAAGGAGACAAAAAAATAGGAGTTGCAGGCAGAGACTCAGATGGTCCATTAAGAAGCCTTTTGATGATAATCATTAACTTTCCAAAGTTATGGGGATGACATTAAGGCTTGATACACACTGGATGCGATTTAAAATCGTACGTTTTGTTTGTGATTTCACCGCATTTTCTGAAGATTTGTTTGCAAATTGTGAAGATTTCCCAACGATTTCTTGTGTTTTCCATTGCGTTTTGCAGTGTGATTTATATTGTAGTCTATGTATGTGAAATCGCAACAAACTGCAGAAAACGTAATACAAGAGCTACTTTTGAAATCGCGCTGCAGCAAATTGTGTATATTAAGACACTCACACTCACATTCACTAGATCTGATTTCAGGTGTGATTTCAATTCCCAAATCACAACTGAAATCGCAGCAGTGTGAACCAGGGCTAAGTCAGCCTCAACATTTTTAGAAAAAAAAAACAAAAAACATAAGAGATTTGATAGTTCCTATCAAGTGTTCTTTATCTTAAAACTGAGCAAAATAATACATTTTGTTTATCAATTAACAGCCTGCAAAGTGCAAAAAAAAAAACTACACCAAATCAATATTTGGTGTGCCAACCCCTTGCCTTTAACCACAAGCCTACAGGGCACTTATACCCCCTTCCTGCCCAGGCCAATTTCCAACTTTCAGCGCTGTTGCACTTTGAATGACAATTGCGCAGTCATGCAACACTGTACCATATGAAATTTTTATCATTTTTTTGTGACAGATAGAGCTTTATTTTGGTGGTATTTAATCACCTCTGGGTTTTTTTATTTTTTCTTAAACAAACCAAAAACCACTGAAAATGTTGAAAAAAAATGTTTTTTCTGAGTTTTTGTTATAAAAGTTTGTAAATAAGTGATTTTTCTCCTTCACTGATGTGCGCTAATGAGGCTGCAGCGATGGCACTGATAGGCCGCAGTGATGGACACTGATAGGTGGCACTGATGGGCACTGATGAGGAGGCACTGGTAGGTGGCACTGATGGGCATTGACAGGCATCACTGATGGGCAATGAAAGGCAGCACTGATATATGGCACTGATTTATGGCACTGATATATGGCACTGACAGGCAGCACTGATAGGCAGCACTGACTGGCACTGATAGGTGGCACTGACTGGCACTGTTAGGTGGCACTGACGGACAATGATAGGCGGCACTGACTGGCACTGTTAGATGGCACTGAGGGGCAGTGATAGGCGGCACTGATTGGCACTGATAGGCGGCACTGATAGGTGGCACTGATTGGCATTGATAGGTGGAACTGACTGGCACTGATGGGTGGCACTGAAAGGCAGCTCAGATGGGCACTGATATGTGGCATTGATGTACACTGGTAGGCACTGATATGTTGCATTGATGTGGCACTGATGGGCACTGGCACGTGGCACTGATGAGCACTGACAGCTGGCACTGATGGACACTGACAGGTGGCACTGCTGGGGCTACACTGATCATCAGTGCTCTGATGATCAGTGTACATGTCCCCTCCGTGGAATGCCGATTACCTGCTCTCCTCTCCTCTCCTCTCGAGCTGTCAGCGTGACAGCTCGAGAGGAGAGAAATTCTGATAACCGGCATTTCCGTGTTTACATGTGATCAGCTGTGATTGGACACAGCTGATCACATGACCGAGCCGACATCTTCGGCTCTTTCCAAGGATCGCGATCCGCTGTGTCCTAGGGACACAGCGCACCACTGATCGCCGCGCTATGCGCTCCAGGAGCCGCGCATGTGCGGTTAGAATGGGAGGACATCATATGACATCCTCCCAGAACAAGAGAACCACCTTGCGTCCGTCATATTATATGGCGGGTGGGAGGTGGTTAAAACAGCATCAATTCTTCCAGCTTTGCTTACACACAGTTTTCTGAGGAACTAGGCAGGTAAGTTGTTCCAAGCATTTACCAGGGCTAACCACAGTTCTTCTATGCGTTTAGGCTAACTCAGTTGGTTCTGTCTCTCCATGTAATCCCAAACAGACTCAATGATGTTGATATCCAGCCTAGAGCTCTCTATGAGCCATATTATCTCTTCCAGAGCTCCTTGTTCTTCTTTTCACTGAAGATAGTTCTTTATAACTTTGTTGTGGGTCATTGTCCTCATGCAGAATGAACTTAGGATGAATCAGACACCCCGCTGATGGTAATGAATGATGGATAAGTATCTGCCTATACATTTCAGCATTGAGGTGACCAGTAATTCTGACCAAATCCCCAACTCTGTGTGCAGAAATGCAGCCCAAAACCTTCACCACGCTCCACCTTTGCCTATAGACACTCATCCTTGTACAACTCTGCAGGCTCTCTGAAAACAAACTGCCTTTTGTTACAGCCAAACATTTCAAGTTTGGACTCAAACCATTTGCTGGCATTTGTCTGCACACCAGTTCTTGTGTCTTTGTGTATAAGCACTGTATGGCCTTATTTCCATATTAAAGTTATTGCTTTTTAGCTGAAAGCCTTACACATAAAGGCCACTTCTGATATGACTTCTCTGGACTGAAGATTAGCGTACCAGGGTACCACTGGTTTTTGTTAAGTCTGAGATAATGGTGGACATCTTCAGAATGTTAAGGGAAGACAGCATGATGTTTCTTTCAGCTGCTGCCCCACTTTTCCTTGACCAACCACTGCATTTTCTGTCCTCAATGTTGCTTGTTTTGTTGTGCTTCTGCAGAAGAGCTTGGACAGGACATCTGAAACACCCGTCTTCCTTGAAATTTCTACACGCGAGTTTGATGAAGTAGGACCGCTTTGTGTCTTGTTGCTATGCATATTCTTGCCATTGTGTAAAATGTTTTACATTGAACTATCTTCAGTGACCTCAGCTTGCTAGTAAAACATTTTTTTTTTTTCAACCAGATTCAGTCCTCCTACACAGCTGACTCTGTTTAATTTAATTTATTGATTGTATTTTAACCTACATGTTGTCTTGTTGATCATTACCACCAGTTTGGTATAACTGTACAGTATTGTAGTTTCTATAGTAAAAAGCCTTATTACCATTTGAAAGGTTTTGAGATGTGACTGGCATTATCCTTTAAATTATTGTGACATCCATTAAATGTAATTGTGACATTTACAAAGCATGGTCTAAAACCTAAACACTGAGTACTCTGCCCACAAAGTAATGTGCAAACTAAAGGAAATAGGTTAAACTACTGGAGCATAACACTGGGCTTTGCTTATAGATCACAGTATCAAATGGTAGAATGGAAAACATAGTAAACTGCATTTTCTTCTGTCAGGTCATGATTGGTGTATTATTGAACTGGGTGTTCCAGGCATAATATATGGATTTCATGTGAACACGCGATTCTTCACTGGAAACTACTCTCCTCGAATCTCTGTCCAAGCTGCATGCTTGCAGCCAGGTAACTGGAATTTCTCATAAAATGTACAGAACTATTTATCAAGTGTTTTTTTTGATTCATTGATATGGGAATGGAACATGTAACAATATGTCAGGGTAACAAGTACATAGAACTGGTTACCCAGTTAACCTGTCCCAGTCAAAGTTGGATATTGAAGATAAGTCCTAGAGTTTTCATGTCAAGCTACAAGTCTGTGCATAATGCCTTACTAATGTAACTTTACAATGGTAAATTGGCGGTTTTGGGCAGGTTTAAAGCTATGTTGTTCCCATTAGATTTTAAATATAAAGTTTGTTGCAGCAGTATGTATCCTTTGCCCTGACTGCCTTAGATATCAAGCAATACAATTATACAATTAAAGGGCGTACATAAATGTACTTAAAGTGGTTGTAAAGGCTCAAAGTTTTGAGCCACAGCTCTGTGTGTGAATGGACATGCAGAGCAGCGACTTGGCAGCAAGCCTGCTTGGGTGCCCCCCTAGCCTGCTTGCTCTAGGCCAGTGGTCGGCAAGCCGCGGCTCTTTACACGCTTTAATGCGGCTCTTGTGTGCCGGGGCGCCCGCTCCCCTCCCTCCTCTCGGGCGGCAGGGACTCTGCAGCGTGATCCAAAAAAAAACAGCCAGGGCAGCGCGCTCAAATGCAATGATTGGCCAGTCTCACTGCCACTCACATCCTGATAGCCAGTGATTGGCTGTCAGGATGTGTGTAGGCGGGGCAGCGTGACGAACGTGAGAGGAGCTAGGCTCCTCTCACAGTCTGCCCTGAAGACCGGAACGGCGCGGGAACACGGCGAGAGGAACGTGCGGAGCAAAGGTAAGTGAATTGACACAGGGGGGACTTGGCTTACTACTTGCTACTTACTTACTACTACTATATGAGGGATGAATTAATATATGGGATGAAGTACTATAGGGGGGATGAATTACTATGGGGGATGAATTACTATAGGGGGGATGAATTACTATATAAGGGATGAATTACTATATGGGGGATGAATTACTATGGGGGATGAATTACTATAGGGGGTTGAATTACTATATGGGGGATGAATTACTATGGGGGATGAATTACTATATGGGGGATGAATTACTATGGGGGATGAATTACTATATGGGGGATGAATTACTATAGGGGGGATGAATTACTATGGGGGATGAATTACTATATGGGGGATGAATTATGGGGGATGAATTACTATGGGGGATGAATTACTATATGGGGGATGAATTACTATGGGGGATGAATTACTATATGGGGGATGAATTACTATATGGGGGATGAATTACTATATGGGGGATGAATTACTATGGGGGATGAATTACTATATGGGGGATGAATTACTATGGGGGATGAATTACTACTATGGGGGATGAATTACTATATGGGGGATGAATTACTATGGGGGATGAATTACTATGGGGGATGAATTACTATATGGGGGATGAATTACTATGGGGGATGAATTACTATGGGGGATGAATTACTATGGGGGATGAATTACTATGGGGGATGAATTACTATATGGGGGATGAATTACTATGGGGGATGAATTACTATATGGGGGATGAATTACTATATGGGGGATGAATTACTATGGGGGATGAATTACTATGGGGGATGAATTACTATATGGGGGATGAATTACTATGGGGGATGAATTACTATGGGGGATGAATTACTATATGGGGGATGAATTACTATGGGGGATGAATTACTATATGGGGGATGAATTACTATATGGGGGATGAATTACTATATGTGGGATGAATTACTATATGGGGGATGAATTACTATATGGGGGATGAATTACTATAAAAACTTATTGAAACTAAAACCAGTGTACCATCCTATGTATTTTCAGTTTAAAAATGTGGCTCTCAAAATAAATTTCAATTGTGGTTTTGGCGAGATTTGGCTCAGTTGAAGAAAAAGGTTGCCCACCACTGCTCTAGGTGAACTTGGCAGGAGGTAGGGCTCCAGGGCCTCCGGCAGGGGGCACTAGAACAGGAGAATCAGGGCTGCTCTGTGCAAAACCACTGCACAGAGCAGGTAAGTATGACATGTTTGTTATTTTTAAAAAATCACTTCAGTATCATTTTAAGTATATTTAAGCATATGCCATGTGAAAGCCATGTTTGCTTGCATAGAAATGCACAGGTTTCATGTCAACTGGGACACAGTGGCTGCATGGACACACCCACTTATCTGAATTTGACAGCCGTGAAAGTGTGTGCAAGTGCTGGTTCCCAACTGCAGACAGTGTACATTGAGGAACCCGCATATTTGCATACCCAAATATAAATAGATCTGTTCCAAGAGTGCGCACCCTGCATGCTCCCGGCATGGTTAGAAGTCCCGATTTGGAGCTTTCTGATCGTATGACCACTGTGACAGCCAACCACGACGGTCACATGATCATAAACTCCGCCCCCACCTCCCAGCATCAGAAACCTCTTAAAGGGCTGAGAGGCACGATGTTAAGGGGTTAAATACAAAAGATTACATTTTGTATATATTTTTCACTGATGGTTTTATGATTTTTCCCAAATTCATCAGGTTTCTAGACAGATGGTAACTGTACTATTATTCTTAAATTACATACAAACAGTCAAATTGTAAGAAGCTTATAAGGAAACTTTTTTTGCATATGGATTTATTTAAGTTCTCTGTTTTCAGAAAAAACAACATTGCTGCCACGTGGGGATAGAATTGGATCTGCTGCCTCAGAGGAAGATTATCAAATTGTAGAAAAGGTAGGAGAAAAATAAACACATACATGTATGTTAACGTGCATACATGATTGATTTGTCCACTTTACTACCGCGCTATAGCTATAGTGTGGTCAGGCACTTCCTGACCACACTATAGCTGAATGACGGCTACAGCAAGGTTGTCCAGTTCTGGGAGGGCGTCATATGATGTCCTTCCAGAATGCATCCCCTGTACGCCCCCAGCGGTGAGTATGGGGCACGTCCCTGTGATCGCTGTGTCTTTTGATCGCATAACACGGTAAAGGGCCAACCACAGCGGCCTTTTACCACGTGATCAGCTGTGTCCAATCACAGCTGATCACCATGTAAACACACTTGCCGGTTATCAGTTGTCTTAGCATGAGGTAAGTATTGCCGATAACCGGCAACTGTGAAAATAGACATCTACACTGATAATCAGGGCACTGATTATCAGTGTCGTGATTATCAGTGCAGCCCCAAAAGTGCCCAACAGTGCAGCTAATCTGTGCCCATCAGT